TTGGACCTTAATTCTTTTGGAAGCGCTGCAGGTGATTCTCTTCCTGTCACTGATTAGCGCTACCGTGATTTGGTGCAAAACTTTCTGGCTCCTCAAATCCAACAATTTAACCTGCAAAACATGTGGTTCCAGCAGGATGGAGCAACTTATCACACAGGCAGGAAAACAATGAATCTTTTGCAAACAATATTTCCGGGACGTTTAATTTCTCGATTTGGTGATGTCAACTGGCCACCAAGGTCCCTGGGGGAATTTTTGGAAAATAGCGTTTATACCAACAAACTAAATACTGTAGAGCAGCTGAAGAACAATATTCCGGAAGCGATTGAAAATATACCTCCCGAAACCTACCAAAATGTGATGGAAAATGTAATCAAGAGGCCTCAGCTTTCCGCGGCTTCTAGAGGCGGAGATTTTTGTTTAATATTATTTTTCATACATAATTTCTTAGTTTCAATAAAAGATTAAGATGAACAAAATGGTCGTATTTCATTTCATTTCACGAATAATCAAAATACAAACCAGTCAGTCACATATCGGCCACCCTGTGTTTCAATCCAAAGTAAAGACAATGAAGAAGATATTAGATTATTTACTTGAAAACTTACATTTTGCAATCGACCGCCATGACAAAGTAACGAGACGAGCGACTCGCCGCCGCGTCTGTGTTTTTGAGTTCGATGGATGTCTGTGTGGGTAGGAAGAACTTGTCATCGTATAACAATAAGTCTTTTTAATAATCGGCCTTACATTGTACCTACAATGTTAACGCTGTAACAGGAGTCACTAAAGTGCAGAAATGGACCAGTGCGCTGCCAGAGGCGATAAATTTCGCCGTTTTTACAAGTTTTTACTTAGCCTCACCTCATTGTAGTTAGTGAGGGACAAATCTTGAAACTGAACCGGCTGGTCTTAACCCGTTGGGCTCAAATGTTGCGAACTCGTTTAACTTGCGTGGCCGCCGTAAAATGGTGGCTCACATTTTTCATAGACACCCTTGCGATACGGATATCGAATGAATTGCTTGATGACAGAAATGCTATAAGAAAAGTAAGGTCATTCTGAATCTAAAGTGGCAGCCGCCACAAAATGGCGAATTACATTTTTTATAGTAAAGACTGTATTTCTTTTTTATCTCTGTTCTCATGCAGAGTTCTTTTGTATGAAAGAACTCGTTACCAGTCTTCCGTCCAAATGCTTAGGCCTGGTTTTTCAATCGCAAGTTAACTTTTTGGTTAGTAAACTATCGCCAGGAAGTTAACTTGTAGTTACTTGCAAATGCGTTTTTCAAGTATTTTGACAGCGTCAGTTAACTTACCAGAACTTCAACCACAGCCGACGTCAACTACGAGCCGTGAACAAAGAAATCTGGCAACGTAGGTGGTAGTGTTACTCCCGCCGCTCAAAACGCTGAGAAAACATAACCTTTTCAATTTGTGATTTGGGAATCGCAGAGGCTGTAATTAAGAGGTAAGCTTGTTTTCTAAGCTTCAAAGTGTGTGTATGTGTTCAAAGTGATCGCTGACTATAATATATGAGAAATAGACTCCAGTTGTAGTGCTTCTGTGCTTTAAAAATAAACTAAGAAGTGTGACTGTGGCTGTTCGCGCCTCAGGACGCTAAGGATTTCAACTATTGAAAACGTGCAAATTCATGAAAAAGCTATCCAGAATTTCGATGATATGGATAAGATCAAAGACTTTCAAGAATTACATTCTTCATTTTCAAAAATTAAAATCTCACAGAAATGGAATAATAAATTATCTGATGGAAAGCTATATTTTTATAAATTGGATTTTGAAAATGATGTCTTAACTTTGAATACACAGATTATAGTTGATGGTCAGATGGAAGTTCAGGTTGTTCATAAAGGATGTAAGCTTTCTTTTAGTGACTTGAAGTGGGTTTTGCCATATGATCTCAAAATTACCAGATGGTCCCAATTAGAAAACCTGCTAAATAGGTATTTTTTCTATTTTTCTGAGAACCAACACAAAAACTCTGTTTAAGTTTGCATCATGAATGCATTGGAACAACTTGACACAGCGATTTCCATAATTAATAATGACTCAGTTATGTTTCTATATACAAAAAATCTAGAGATTATTGCTGATCAGCTGAGACAAATTCAAAACAGGAAAAACAGATATGCATCACTTTCAATAACAATGGCTTTTACGTATTATAACCACTCATCATCAACATATAATTTAATTAAAAGATTTTTTATTTTGCCAAGTAAGCGATACTTACAACATATCTTCCTCAAGTATGGATATATCTCCAAAAAATGATAGGAATAATGAACACTACCTTTCGAATATAGCAATTAAATTAGCTCAAAGAGAAAAAATTGTAATTTTGATGATCGATGAAATTTATATAACATCTAGGCTGGACTATCGCTCACAAAACATTGTTGGGTATGCCTCAAATAAAAATGACATGGCTAAAACTGTTTTAGCCTTCATGCTATCTTCAGCATTTGGAAACATAACAGAAATTATCAAATTACTACCAGTTTCAAATCCAACAGGTGATGAAATGACACGTTTGGTTGAACATGTGATAAATTTAGTTCAAAAATGTGGATTTGAAGTTATTTGTGTTGTTACTGATAATCACCGAATTAATAGAGCAATGTTCAGGAAATTAGCAAAGGATTCATCAAAATTATTCTATTCCAAATCCTCATAGTCCTGATAAGAACATATATTTAACTTATGATGTTGTGCATATTTTCAAGAGTATCAGAAATAATTGGATTAATTTAAAAAACCTAGACAAAACTTTTGTATATCCTAATTTTGACAATAATGATATTATTCAGTATGCTAAATTTGAAAACATTCGTGCTGTATATCAATTGGAAAAAGAAGCTGTAGTTAAGAAAGCATATAAATTAAATTATAAAACATTGCATCCAAATTCATTTGAAAGGCAAAATGTAAGTTTTGTAGATAATTTATTCCATCACTCAACAATAGCTGCTATGAAAGAATTAAAGTTTAATGATGCTGCATACTTTTTGGAAATAATCAGGAATTGGTGGGATATTGTCAGTAATACAAGTGTAATAAAAGGAGAATTGAAGCGAAACGAATTTTGTAAGCCTATTACCAATAAATATGATTATAGAGTACAATTTTTAAAAAAATTCCTGATATGGTTAGAAAATATCAAAGCACGCTGACTCTACTTAATATAATTGAATATTCATTTAATCAATTTGACATTGAGCATGTATTGCCTGGAAAATTCACCACTGATAATTTAGAAAAACGATTTGGCAATTATAGACTTTTATGTGGCTGCAATTACAATGAAGAAAATACGGCTGAAGCATATTTTCAATGAAAAGAAATCGTCATTTTCTTTAGCAGAAATTAAAACAAGGTTCCAATACTGTTTAGAAACTCAAGAAAAATTTTATTTCTTGGATACCAAACAAAATCCTGAAGTTTTGGATATATTCAATGGAGTATTTGAGACAAATTACTTAGCCAATTGTGACATAGAGGATAGTACTAAGACTTATATATCTGGATATGCTTCACACGCGATCTCTAAAAACCTAAACTGCGAGATATGCAAATCGCTAATAGTTAAAGAAAAAGGTTCATTAACAACAAATGTTTATTTTGTTCATTTGCAAAGAGGAGGACTGTTAATTCCAACCAGTTATGTACCAATCATATTCTACCATATGTATGCCATTTTTGAATCTATTATTAATGTAGATAGATTGGAAATTTTCTTCTTGAAAAGCAATAATCAAAAATTTATTTTGTGTCAGTTAACCTTGCTCAGCATTCAGTCTGACTTTATATACAGTGAATTTTCTTTAACTTGCATCTGTGGCCGCAATTATGCAGATATTTTATCTAAGCTTTTGTCTATTTTTTCACACATAATTTTGAATGATTATGTAAAATTGAAAAATAACAGTAAAACTGAAAGTAAATATATTAAAAACAAACAGGTAACTCCACATTTCCAAGCTGGGCCTGTTGGAACACAGTGTGCTGACACCAAAAAACGTAAACAAAATACTTTTAATTAGGTTAACTGCATTAGCGACTCATATATATCACGATTATTTCGTATTTTTAAATTTTTTAGAGCTATTTCATATTCAGACGATTTGTATCGAATCGAACTGTCCTCTTTTCCAAAATTAAATTTAGTTCTTGAACGTTACACGGAGACGGAGCACACAGCCGCTGGCGGCCGACGTTCACAGGTAGCACTACCATGCCGTCCGAGCGCGGTGTTGCCTTTCTTTCATCACGGCTCGTAGTTGACGTCGGCTGTGGTTCAACATATATTTATGTTACAGCCCTGTATCTGCGGTTCTTAGATAGCGTGTTCTATGTGTTTTGTGCGCTCGGCATCTGTGTCCCGTGTCATACGTCATACATGACAGTTCGATTGATTTAAATTTCTTAAATCAGCCAAAATCGAAATCCGGAAATTTCATTAAAAACGAATAAAACATAAAACCTTCGTCAAGTAAAGTAAGTTTTTTCAAACATTGCTCGTACAAATGTTTAGTAGTAGACCCTATAGGCGGCATTTTATAAATGGTGATAAAAAAGTTTGCAAATGCAATGTCTAATGAACCATACTAAGGTCCAAAAACGATTAAGTTGTAAATATCTGATGAATATCGTATTTTCCACCTTTTTTAATATCACTCCTATAATCTACGATCCAAAAATAAAGGGGATACACAATACCTCTATTCTTATTGCTAAAATTTCTCAAAAACTGTTTTCTATCATGGAGAAAGAGATCAAAAAGAGAGCTCAAAATGTCTCGATGAATGAGGAAATGATGCTAATATCATTGGTGAGCAAAAGTAAACATGTAATAGAGAGCAAAACAAGTGGCACAGTTACGTGGAAATAGAAAGGTTCAGTATGGCAGAGCATCGAAAAAGAATTCCAAGCCCTAACAGGGTGCCACCGAGAGACATAAACTCTACGAGATAAATATTTCAATTTAAAGAATAAAACAAAAAGCAAATTTGCTACAAACAAAACCAATATAATCAAGACACAAATACAAGATATAATGGGACCACAATTAGAAGGTTTGACAAACAATTATGATGATGAGTGTAGTGACCAAGATGAGGTGGTTTCTGAACATGGTAAGTCTCATTGCTGTTGATTGAAACATTATTCACTTTTTAGTTCGTTATGCAAATAACTGCGATGACAGTGAAGTGGTCTTCAATAATGGGAAATGGAGCTCCTATACTCCCCAACAACTGAAGAGGCCCAAAACTACAAAGCTATCATGTACGAAAACGGTACAAAATAAAAAATATATTTCTGTTAACTATCTACTAATGGAAGAAAAGCTGAATTTTTTGATACTACAAAAAGAAAATTCATCGAAGAACACAATAAAAAAATGGAAATATATAAAAAAAAGGTTCAGCTGTTAGATTTACAGATCAATGCATTCGATAAGTTGAAAACAAAGGATTTATTTTGTTAATTTCTGGAATATTTTCACTTGAACTCAATGCCTTGTGCGCCTTTTTTGGGCACCAACAATTTTGGCCACAACTCTTATCCATTTGCCATGGATTATCACAGATCTTATACTAAACAACTTTCATCTAGCATCGAGTCATTCACTGAGCATCAGTGAATGTACTGAATCGATTTACAAATTTGCAAAATATACTAAGTGACATATATGTCCGAACACCCAGTTTAAATGGTTTTATTTTAATAAAATTTTGTATAAGTACTTAATGAAGCATAATAAGTAAATCATAAAAATTTCAAAATGATTGCACTGCTTTAAAGCCCTTTGACCTTTAATAATGTGTGGATGCACCCTGATGTGCTGCGCATTCTCCAACGCGCCTAGGCATGCTTCTGATCAGGTGGTCAATGTCCTCCTGTGGTATCTCATTCCAGGCAACCACCAACTCCTCTCGAAGTGCTTCTAGAGTCTGAGGAGGACGTTGCAAATTGAGCAATCTCCTACCCATCATATCCCACACGTGCTCAATTGGCGATAAGTCGGGAGTCGGTGTTATCGAGTTAAAGGGAGGACCCAGTGTGGCCGGTATGAAAACAAGCCAAAACTTCTCATTCGTCGGTAAACACTTCGCATGCCAATAGGTCTTCCGTGTTCTGCAAACCATTCATTTGCAATGGACCTGGTAGTGGAGAAACGGTCCCTTAAGGCCAATAATCTTAGGCGACGATCTTCACGGTCTGTTGTTCTACGGCGGCGTCCAGTGCACCTTGCTCTTTACGTACGGCCTTCTCGAAGCCATGCCTGACAACACCTAACCACAGTGTCTACACTTCTTTGCACTCTAACTGCAATTGCCCGAAAGGAAAGTCCAGCTTCCCGAAGTCCCACTATACGGCCCCTATCAAACTCACTAAGTTGACGAAATCGTACAGGTCTCCGTACTCTAGGCATCGTAACCGATCGTAAAGGATGTCAAGAACCAAAATCCGCCAACGTTGATTCTTTACTGCGGCTGAAATATTCATTTTTAGAGCGTTAGTGAATTAAAAAAAAGCAGTATAAAAACTGGAATGTCCAACTGATAAGTCTGAAAATTTTTTCACTTACAGTAAGATAAATACATTCACCAACTTTTATTAAAATAAAACCATTTAAACTGGGTGTTCGGATTTATATGTCACTTAGTATAATCATTAATATGGTAAGTTCTAACATTGATGATTGCATTTTGTAGCAACCTAATATTTACAGGATCTGTCTTCACATTATCTACATGAACCATGTTAATAGCATTTTCCTGTTCGGGACTAATAAGGGCATAGCTTGATTATTAGGACAAGCAATATTATGTAGCACTGCTGTTCCTAGGGTAACTGATTGAGCTGTATCTAGATGAACTCTAAACTCCATAGCTTCTCTCTAAAACATGGCGACTACGAATGATAGATTCATTGTATAATTCTTCAGCAGGAGTTGTAGTTGTATTTAATGGTGTCATCAAATAGCATTTAATAGGATAACCATTGTCACCAGCCAACAAAGAGTTTCCCAAGTGACCTGATTCAAATTGTCTGCAGAGCTGAGAATTTCCGAAAATGTATGAATCTGCGTCAGAAACAGTTCGATTTCCGAAGAGATCTGCATGGCTTCCTCCAGGAGAAACAATTTTTATATGCGTGCAGTCAATTGCACCTATGCATTGAGGAAACCTAGCTATATCATTTATAAAAGGATTGCTTTGCCCTGGCAAGAGCCTCAAGAGTGTCCAGCATTTTTATGTGATTACTTCTTTTACTCGTTAGTACTTTTAAGAATCTTCGGACTGTTTTGGATGCAGTTGATTTGGAAACCCCAGCAAAATTTCCAGCAACAGTTAAAAAACATTGTGCAGTGCTAACAACAGCTGCTGTTGGCGCGTTAAGCAGTTATTCCTGGAATGACAAAGTCATCGAAAAATATGGAAATAAACAATAATATATACATCTACCTGCTTGCAGGATATACTAAATCTTCATAAACTTCGTCCAGGAGAGTTTCGACAGTCCTTTTTGTAAGACGAAATCTTACAAGGAAATCGAGGTCATCAAAGTAATTCGGCCGATTATTTTTGGCCTTCTCGCGTCTTCGTCACTGCTATACGCATTCACGTCGTAATCCATAAACATGTTTATAGCTTAAATTAACCGATAGATTGATATGGATTTGTTGTGCTTTTTTGAATAAACGTCAAAGTTTATGTCAAAAACCGTCAGGTATTGCTATTTAACTACAGCCTTTCTAGTCAACTCATAGATGGTCTTCTGGTTAAAGTAACCTTCCGTTTTACTATAAACATGATATTGAATAACGCTTTTTCATAAATAACTATAAGTTAAGACTAAGATCGTAGTTAACCTACGATTGAAAAACCGGGCCTTAGACATAAAGAATCCTGAACATGAAACCACTGTCAAAGCAGAGACTGTAGAATACTTAGTTTAAGTATATCGATATGTGACCAAAGTTTCAAATACGGTGGCGACCTCACATCTGGCGACCTCTTTCTCAGCTATTTTTCGCGAGATCTAATAAACAGAAGAACGCCGATTGAACGCAATAACGTCGGCCAAAGTAAATGTTATTCTGGCTTAGCTTTGGGGTAGTCCGAGGAAGGGAATAGGAGCGAGGCTATAAATTGGCCACGTTTTAATAAATGTCGCAGCCACCGCTTGCCGCCCGAAGGGTACGAAGAACCCGAAACATTGTTGTGCATGCATAAATCTGGCAAAAACGCGACCGCAAGAGTTATGGTCCTATATTTCCACCAGCGCCTGCGAAAGAAGCAATCTTAATTGTGGAATTTCTGGTATTTTTTGGGAAGCAGTTGGAAAAATGTGCGAATGTGTGTTTCTCTAAAAAAATTAAACAAGCACTCAGATAAAGCAACGAAAACGTTTGGATAAGCAAAACTCAAAGCTTACATTCTCAATATTGATAAGAAGCTCTAAGAATCAAAATAGTTATTTACTAGCTTTTAAGTTAGACCAAATCTAAGAAAATGTCGCATAAAGACCGAGGTATATTAAAATCCGAATTCACAGTCTACCATATTCTTACAAAAAATACAGAGATACTAAAAAGAATCCAATAACAAATCCTCTCCAAATCTTTCTGCCGAGATATACAGGGGTTTCTTAATTGAATGTCAATATACAGGGTGTTTCAGTTTATTGTTGCATAACTTTAAGATTCGATAGAACTTTTAAAATTAATGCATAAAGTCTATATAAACATGGATCGAAAAATGCGTGGCTTCCGAAATACAGGGTGTTTAAATTTACTTTCTAAAATAGTTTTTTTCAAATATTTGAAACAATATTCGATGTATAACAGTGAAAATTGGTATACAACGGTTTTTTGGTACGACAAAACGAACCATGGGCATGGTTTTACTGTAGCCGCTAGAGGGCGCTCTCTACTGTAACTGTAGTGTATTAAAATGACCGAACATTTTTTCTTAGTGCAATTTTTTGCTTTTTGAATAAAAAAAACTGATTCTTCGCACTCTTCAACATAAAAAAGCTATCTTGTGAGTTTTCGTTATAGTTAGCCGTTTTTGAGATATTTCGATTTTTAAGGTTCGATGCATTTTTAATTATTTATGATAAAATAACGTTAATAAGTCAGTATCTCGATAATTTTTAGAAGTAGGCTGTGCCTGCAAATATTTTTGGAATTGAAAGCAGATTAAGGTTAAACGTCAATTAGTTGACAGTTAGTTTTGTTGCCTGCTGAAACCTGAAACGTTTTTTTGCAATTGTGAATGCACGAAATTTAGTTTCTTTTACCTGTTTTTTTTGTAAGTTTTATAAAAATGCCATTTTTATTCTCCAATCAAGAGTTAGCGGATATTCATTTTGTGTATGGCTTTGTAAATGAAAACGCAGCAGAAGCAGCCAGAGAATACGCACGAAGATTTCCAAACAGACGACATCCAACTCGCTCAGTATTTGTAAGAGTGCATCGCCAAATAATTGAAAATGGTTTTGGAAATCTCCAGAGGGATCAAAACACAAATGTTCGTCAGCGCAGATTTACCAGTATGATTCTGCGTAAGTTTGATAGAGATCCGACCACAAGTGTTAGGAGAGTTTCTGGTGCCTTGGGAATTTCAGCAAGCCATGTTCACCGTGTTCTTAGAATGACCATAGACGTCCTTACCATTTGCAACCTGTGCAAGGACTACAGCCAGGGGACGGAGAACGAAGAATCACATTTTGTCAGTGGATTCTCGATAGAACTGATAATAATAGGGAGTTTTTAAGTAACGTTTTATGGACCGATGAGTCATGCTTCACTAGACGTGGAGTGGTAAATTTTCATAATCAACATATTTGGTCGCATGAAAATCCGCATGCAGTTCGGGAAAGAAATTTTCAGCATGAATTTAGTGTGAACGTGTGGATTGGTATCTACCGTAATCGACTATTTGGAGCCTACCTTTTGCCTGCAAGGTTAAATGCTGCGACCTTCTTGGGATTTTTAAAGGCTGAACATGCAAATATGTGGGATGAAGTTATGTTAGATTTAAGAAGATTGGCCTGGTTTCAGCTTGATGGTTGTCCAGCTCATTATTCGAGAATAGTTAGAAACTGGCTGGACGAAAATTATCCAGAAAGATGGATCGGCCGTGGTGGACCAGTCGCCTGGCCTCCAGGATCCCCTGACCTAAATCCATTAAATTTCTTTGTGTGGGGATTTCTAAAAGAAAAAGTGTACCAGACTCCCGTAACCACAAGAGATATGCTAATAGACAGAATCAGGAATGCATGTGATGGGATAAGGCCTTATTTGAATAATGCTATACTACGTTCGATCATTCGCAGATGTGAATTGTGTATTGAACAATTGGGTTTACATTTTGAGCAACTACTATAGATTTTGTATGTTTGTCCTAACTTTCCAATAGCATTTTAGTTGTAAATAATTAATTTAATTTGTTAAAAATAATATTGGAAAATTAAACAAATTAATATTCTGTTTTTTTGTGTTTATTTGGAGTTAGGAATTATTG